AGCCATTTAATGACCGAGGTTTCATGTCCTCAAAAAGTTCTCAAAGTCTTACACTAAAGCCCCTAGGAAAGGCTGGATCTATGTGATGCCAAGATAATCGGTTGAAAAGTTGAAATTTTGGTCATCATGGCTATTCAGTTCCAAAAAGATGCAAAAACTCTGTCATGTGATCAAATTAAACTAAAATTTAAAAAAATCTGAATTCAAATTAAAACACTTTGGGGATACAGACACATGTGAATTCGGGATGCTGCTTACACTTAAAAAATAATAACTTTTCTTGTTAAATGTCAGCCTCAAGGCATTCCTGCCAAAGTTATTAAACGTATGCCATAAAACATACATAACCAAGTTAATGCTGCTGTAGGAACCTTATCTTTGGAATTTCCTGACATGTGAGGGTTTCTCCTGTTCCATTTTAGGATTGAAGGCGTAAGTCCTTGCATTTAATTTCCTGGGGCTTTAGAGAAATGAAGAAAGAAGAGAGAAGAAGGGGAAGGAGGGAAATGAGAGAAAAGATGGGAAAAAAGAGCAGGAAAAAATAGGAAGAGAGAAAGAGAAGAAAAAGAAAAAGACATTTTCTCAAACCCAGAATCGGAATCCATTGGTTTGGCTCTTGCTGAGGTGGACTGATTGGCATATGAAAATAAGCTGGCTACATTCTCGGCAGTGCTCAGCCTGGCCGTGTAATTCTAAACCCTCGTAACCTCAACATCCTTAATCATTTCTTTCTTCAACTTGGCTTGGCTTTCCTGCCTCAGAGAGGACAGTAAGTCTGCCAAATTCAGAGTTAAGCCTTTTCTTTCTTTTTTTTTTTTTTTTTAAGCAACAGGACCACAATAAAGAGCATATTTTGTTTTTCAAGAGTAGAAAGTGAACATCTTGCCCTCATCACCTCCATTGTACAATTTCAAACAAAAGGAGAACTCCAAAGCCAAAAGTTCTTTAAACACAGCTGATGCAACCATATCCAAATTGGCCAAAAAAAATTTCATCTTTGGACTGAAACAAAGTAACTCTAGCTGGTTTTAGAGAAAATGCTAGAGGACTGAAAAGAGCAGATGGTAGCTAAGAGAGAAAAGATAATGGGAATAACTGTTCACTAGGTTGATCTGTCTGCCCACAGATGACACAGTTCGAAGACTCCAATTTCCCAGAGCGAACCTGCTTCTGGGAAAGAGGCCCTCTTTGGAGGAATAGCCCATAAAGGGCACAGAAGAGCTTCTCCGGAGAAGCACGGGGGACAGAAGCAGAAAAGTCATGAGAGCACCCAGGGCTCTCAGGTTGGTGCTGGTCTGGGAAAGAATTTAGGATTAGAGATGGATTCAAACTTTCTCAGCACATAAAGAAGGAAGCCTATAAATTCTTTTATCCTTCTCCTCCTGGATGCTCAGTCATGTCCAACTCTTTGTGACCCCATGGACTGTAGCCCGCCAGGCTCCTCTGTCCATGGGATTCTCCAGGCAAGAATACTGGAGTGGGTTGCCATGCCCTCCTCCAGGGGATCTTCCCAACCCAGGTATGAAATCCATGTCTCTTGTGTCTTCTGCATTGGCAGGCGGACTCTTTACCACTGAGCCACGTGGGAAGCCCTCAAATGCTTTTATAGATATCACAAGACACTAATACCAAAGCTGGTAAAGTTAGTACAATAAAATCCAAGTATAGACTAGTAGTCCCATTTACAGAATACTTATACACAAATCTTAAATAGAATATTAACATTAATAGGTCAAAGAAGAAGAACCATATGATCATATAAAGTTTCTGAAAAGTAATTTGACAAACCCAATCCTAATTTTTAAAACTCTTAGTTAAAAAAAAAGGGGGTGGGGGCTACCAGTGAACACTACCTTGACAGAATGAAAATGCAACTCCAACAGGGGTGTTTGAAAGTAGAATACCAGAAGCATTATCATTAAAGTTAGGGCAGGACGAGGCTGCCCAGGGCTATCAGCACTATTATTTCACACTGTTATAAAAGTATCAGTGCAATTTAGTAAGAGAGAGAATTTGGAGATATAAATAAAAAAGAAAAAAACTTAAAATGATAATTCTTTGCAAACAATATTATTATATACATGGAAAGTCCAAGAGAATCGACTGATAATTAGAAACAGTAAGAAATTTCTTTAAGGGCTCTTTTAAATGAGTAATATATAAAAATAGTTTTCTTAAATACAAAGACCATATAATGAGAAAAAAAGATTCCATTAACAATGGCAACAAAAAGATAAAATACTATAAACTTAGCAAATGTATGGAATCCCAATTAAAAGCTGACATATTTACTGTGTGTGAAATTTGACACTGATGCATAGAATACTTAGAAAAATACATCCAAGAATATTCAAGACATTTTTGAAAAAGGAGAATAATCAGGAAATAAATAAGAGCTTTATAATTATCAAGAAGGAGACCAAATGATCATTTGTGTGTATATTACATGACAGAATATGTAGAATGTCCAAAAGAATCCACTGATTAATTATTAGCAGCAATAAGAAATTTTTGTTAAGTTCTGCTGCTGCTGCTGCTGCTAAGTCGCTTCAGTCACGTCTGACTCTGTGCGACCCCATAGAAGGCAGCCCACCAGGCTCCCCCATCCCTGGGATTCTCCAGGCAAGAACACTGGAGTGGGTTGCCATTTCCTTCTCCAATGCATGATAGTGAAAAGTAAAAATGAAGTCGCTCAGTCATGTCCGACTGTTAGCGACCCCATGGACTGCAGCCTATCAGGCTCCTCTGTCCATGGGATTTTCCAGGCAAGAGTACTGGAGTGGGGTGGCTCTACTAGATAGTAAAACAGATTAAGAGGTTAAAATAGTTACAACTGTTTGGTCCTAGAAAAGAAATATGTACCCTGATTAAACAGAATACAGCCAGAAAAAAATAACAGCTAACATTTATTAATCATTTACTATATACCAGACTCTATTTTAACTTATGTTTACAAATATTTACTCGTCTAATCTTTACAACAAAGCTATGAAATGGTTACTATAATTATCTCCATTTTATAGATAAGTAAAATGAGGCTCAGACAAATTCAGTAGCTTGTCCAATGTCACACAGCTAGTAAGTTCTCTGGCTCTAGAGTCTTCTCTAATGCTATATTCTGCTCATCACAGCATTATTTGTAAACTGGAGACAACCTAAGTGTAAATCAGCAGGGAAATGGTTAATTAAAATATGGTTTGGCCACATGATGTAAAGATGGCAGTTAAAAAAGGAAGGTGAAAAGAAAAAGGTGGCAACATGGTAATATCTCAATGGTATCTTAAGCAAAACACGGTTGGTATACAGCATGATTTCGTTTTTTAAAAGGATATGATACATATGTGTGTATTTCTGGAAATTCTAGAATAGCCAAGCTTTTTTCCCCTAGAAGAGAACATAAGAAATTACATGTGTGGCACCCAAACACTCCTTCCTGACAGACCATGCTGAGTAGGAAACTGTTATGATTGAATCTGTATTTCTAAGACTCCTCTGGCTGCTGGGAAGGAAAATACTGGGGGTAGGGGGCAGTTAGATACAACATGACTAAGGTGGTAGCAGTGGAGGAGATGTAGTCAGGTTTAAGAAAACGCTTTAAAACTAGAACCAAAGGACTTGATGAATTAGATTGGCGGTGTGCGAAAATAAGAGAAATCATAAATGACTCCCAGGGTTTGGGGCATAAGCAAAATGAAGGGTGATACCATTTAATCAGAGAGCATCTACCTGGGGAGAAGATCGTTTTAGTAGTGGCCTGGATTGAGAATTTAGGTTTAGACATATTAAGTCCAAGCTATTAGATAACCAAATGGAGACCCAAGCAGGAGATGACTACAGAAACCAAAAACTAGGAGAGGGTCAGGGCTGGAGACACACGTTTGGGAACCATAAGCATGTAACTAACATTTAAAACCATGAGAGTGGGTGAGATCAGTTTAAGGGAGTGCATGTAGATGGAGGAGAGGAGACCTGATCCTGGGATGGAGTGTAGATGGGTTGAAGGGGGATGTTACTCAACAGGTAGGAGGAGAGGAGGTGCAGCCAGTGAAGTGTGACTATCAGGAAAGCAGGAGGTCTACAAGCCTACAGTGAACATAGGATTTCAAGGGGGTGTGAGTCAAGCTGGTCCGCAAAGGCTAAGTGAGGTCAATCAAGAAAAGCACAGAGAACTGACAAATTGGATTTGGCAAGGATGGAGGTCGTAGGTGGACTTGGCCAACAGAAGCTCTAGGATTAGTACCAAAAGCCCTACTGCAGGGAGTCAGGCTAAACCCAGGAGGGAAGCAGTGGTGACAGCAGGGACAGACAGCTATTTGGAGGAGCTGTTCCTCAGTAGAGGGTTTCCAGATTAGGAGGTATCAAACCAATTAGCACATTACAGAAACAGACTAGAGATCAGGTTTCAGAACAGAAAAGAAACTGTCTCCAAAGCACAGATTTTACCTTTAAGCATTCACAGGTTTTATTATCTAAGGTATTTTAACATTATAGAATATTTACCATGTGAGCATCTATACGTATAAATGAGAAAACCAAGGCTTCGAGACGTTAAGTGACTTGTTCCAAGTTAGACAGACCGTGAGAGGGCCAGGATAGGCCAGGCAGTGTGTTTCTAGAGTCCCTACCAAGAAAAAACACGAAAGCAAGAGGGAGGAGAGACTTGGAGCAGCAGCACAAGGTGGGGGTGGTAGTGGCAGAATGAGTATCAATTAGTATATTGCCAGTGTTAACACACGTTTTCATTTAACTCTTGGTTACTGCCTGAATTACAAGCACTCATTCACACCTACAGGGTGATCTTTTGAAGTGAATACTCTTCTTTCTGAGGACAAGGAACAAGCACAAGACACCTGTATACCAGTTACCATGTCTTCCGGTTTAATCAATGAACCATCCTAAGCTATGGATGGTCTCGACTAACGACAAGATCCGATGGTTTAATAAACAGTTAGGCTGAGAACAGACAGTGGCCATGCGGCATAAAGTCACTGGTCACCTACCTGTGGTCAGCGCTGGCTTTTGGTCTCCCGCTCCATAGTCTTCTGTTCACCGAGGGGGGTGGGGGAGAGGAGGGCAGGGGCGGGGGAGGTAGAGAGGGCAGAGGAGGCAGGTTCCTTCTGTCTTTCCGAAAGCTTGTGCTTGGGTTCCCATCCTTGTCCCCTTCTCCATCGTGTTTGAAAGTTCTCCGGGGTTTGGGCAAGGGGTTGATGAAGGGTTTTGTGGGGGGGTCCTCCAAGCCTCTGTACACACTCTCCAGGCTCTGGTCACAGGGCCTCCTGCACAAGCCTTTCCTTTCCTCGGCAGCCTCAAGGGTAGGCTCCTTGGCTTCCAGGTCCAAACGGTGGGCTCTGAATTCTGAGCCGCTCCCACCCCCACGGTGCTCAGGAAGGGTGGGCGCCTCCTCGGCCTTGTCCAGCAGGCAGTGTGGGGAATAACACGTGCCTGGTAACTGGGGATCCAACCCGGCAGACCCATCCTTCAGAGCCTGCTCGAGTTTCTTGACCTGCTTCAACACAGAGAGGCTATCGTTCTGAAAGCGCTGTTTGCCAAGCCTGGGCTCCCGGCCTCTGCCCAAGCTGGGAGCCAGCTCCCGGGCTGGCTGGCTCAGGTCTGGCCTCTGCTCGGCACCCTGTGCTCTGGCCTTCACTTTATTCCGCTCATCCTCTCTACTTTCCACGCCCAGCCTCGCTCCGTTCTGAGCCTTGGTGACCCGAGTCCTTGAACCATCACTGCTTCTCCTCTCCATCACACAGGACATCAGGTAATCCTCCTGGCCATCTGCCTTCCTGCCAGGGGCAGGAGTGGGCAACTCCCGTTTCCCTTCCCATTCTGATATCTTGTCCTTTATGCTGAGGGACGTGTGCCGGGCCCTGCCTTGGGCGGGAGGGCAGGGGTCCTGAACACTGCCCAGCTGCCTCTTGCCGGCCCTGCTGGTTCCTTTAGCACTGAGATCTGAAGCTGAGTCACTGATGATCATATCTGAGCTGAACATGTTCTGCTAAAAACAGTTCACTCTTGGCTCTAGCATCCGGTTATGGAGGCTCTCCAGGGGGCTTCTTTGGAAGGCTGGATCCTGCTCAGTCTCTAGGAAAGGGATGGAGGACCTAAATGGCTGCCTTTGAGCGCCTCCCCCAGTCTTTGGACCATCTACCTTGACCCTAAACAAGAAAGACAAACACTGAGTGAGGCATTCTTGGTTATTGTTCTTGACACATCATAGTGATTTGCTAAAACTTAGATATAAATTGTCAGGCTTCCCTTGTGGCTCAGCTGGTAAAGAATCTGCCTGCAAGGCGGGAGACCTGGGTTCGATCCCTGGGTTGGGAAGATCCCCTAGAGAAGGGAAAGGCTACCCACTCCAGTATTCTGGCTTGAAGAATTCCATGGACTGTATAGTCAGCCCATGGGGTCGAAAAGACTCAGATATGATTAAGCGACTTTCACTTTCAGATATAAATGTTAGATACTAGCTGCAAGCCACAGACACTGAAACCACCATCTAAAAAATCACTTTATGTTTTTCTCCTGGGGAGACAGCATAACAGAATGAAAGGAGCTATTGGACTGTGGCATTCAATAGACTTGGGTGTGAATCCTAATTCAACCACTGGCCACTTGTGTGACCTTGGCTAAGTTGTTTAACTTCTCTAAACCTCAGTTTCCTCATCTGTGAAAAGGGAATAACAATAAACATACCTACAAAGGTGGCTGTAAACACTTAATAAGCTAGCCCAGATTAAGTATCTAGTATGGTGTGAGTGTACAATAAATGGCAGTTATCATTATTGTTAGCTTTTTCCCAATGAAAATAGAAGTTTCATGAGATAGAAGATTATACCAACAGAAGATCCTTTGGAATGATTATTTAAAAATTACAACAACAACAACAAAATTACAACAAATGCCATAAGTCATGAAGTTTTCCCTAATTCTGGGCTTGATAAATTGTCCTGATTTGAGTGGGTAAAGCCACAATGATTGACTGCATTTGACTGGAACCTCCTCTAGAATGTGAACCCTACTAGACTGGTTTCTCTGGGAGGATAGGGATCTTTTTGTTTTGTCTGTCGCTTCATCCCTAGCACCCCAACAACACCCGGCAGAGTAGGTGGTCGATAATACTTGTTGTATGAATAAGCGAGTAAATGAGCAGATTCATATTTCCTGCATGGCCTGGAAATGCACTGTCTGGTATGGTAGCCACTAGCCACATGTGGATATTTAAACTAAAATCAAATTAAATCAAAGCATTGGTTCCCCAGTTGCAGCAGCCACATGTCAAGAACTCAATAGCCATGTGTGGTTAACAGTTACTATACTGGATGGAGTAGAAAACAATTTTCATCACTGCAAAAAGGTCTCACTCAACACAAACATGTGTGGATACAGGCCTCCAAATGTGATTTTAGAAGATTAGTTAGTGATGAAGATGTTAAAAATTATTTAGAAAGAAATACAGAAGCTCCAATACTTTGGCCACCTGATGTGAAGAGCCGACTCATTGGAAAAGACCCTGATGCCAGGAAAGATTGAAGGCAGGAGGAGAAGTGGGTGACAGAGGATGAGATGGTTGGATGGCATCACCAACTCAATGAGCATGAGTTTCAGCAAGCTCTGGGAGATAGTGAAGGACAGAGAAACCTGGAGTGTTGCGGTCTAAGGCATTGCAAAGAGTCAGACACGATTTAGTGACTGAACAACAATGAGCATGAGAGTATCGGTGTTTTGAAATGCAAAGCATTTCTTCTACCAGCAAAGGTCATGACTGAGCACACTGACCTTAAATGTGCCAAGATGAGCAAGCGTGCATGGACTGACTTCATGGTGCGTGTTTTCTGAATACACAGGCTCTCGGAAACTCCAGCTAAGGTTCACATGAGGAATGAGTAACTAGCAATTTCACACATCCTGTTACTATCTAGCTTTCTAGTCCAGAGACTAATGGTTGTTTATATAAAGACTTCTTCCTGGCTTGAGATATTAACATGTAAATTATGTTGTTGTTCTTGGTTGCTTAGCATAAATCAGAAACTTGTGAAATTGCAAACAAATTTTCATATGTTAATATGGCTATCAAAGCAGATTTCCTTATTTAAATAATTACCATTCATAACAGAGCGCTTACAAAAAAGAAACATTTTTTTAATAGTCTGTCACCACTGAGGACATTAGCATGAATTCAAATTTTAGTCAGAATCAGAGTTAGAATCAGTTAGTTATTCTACTGAGAATTCAAAAGCCAGAAATTTAAATCCTTGCTCTTACTGTCTAGAGGCAAGATGAAGAGATAGGACACATTAAAAACACAATTCAGTAAATCCATGGCTGATTCATTTCAATGTATGACAAAAACCACTGCAATGATGTGAAGTAATTAGCCTCCAACTAATAAAAATAAATGGAAAAAAAATAAATAAATAAAAACACAATTCAAGTTAGTTCACACTTAGTGAGAACTGATGATATAATATATAATCATTAACATCATATGTACTATTAAATAATATTGACAGTAGATGAATATATGACTTTGGAGTTAAAGGAACCTGGGTTTGGACCTTGGTTTCATTTTTTTCCACCTTACAGTGAGAATACAGCACCGTTTTATTGGTGCAGAGGCCAAATTTATTTTGCTCGCTATGCTCAATACATAGCAGGTAGTCAATAAGTTAAATGAGTGAAAGGATGTGTTAATATATGTAAAGTACCCACAGAACAGCATACATTATAAGTCTTGTTAGCAATAAATGGTAACTAGTGTTATTGTAACAGTTACAGTTATTGTCTAAGATCCCAAACATCTGGAGTGACTTTATAATCACTGAGGGTCCATCTAAAAACTGAAGAGGAAAAAAGGCTAGTCTGTTAGAAAACTACCCTGGAATTACAAAGCTCAAGCAGCAGCGGGAAGGATGATGAAACCAGGGGCAGAGTGCCTTCTGCACATGTCTGCTGGACCCAAGAATTTCTCTCGTTCCTGCTTCCAGGATTCTGTGGCCTTTGAAGGGGCTCTGGACTGGGATGCACAGCTGTGAACAGCTCAGTGACTGCCAACTCCACTGCAGAATGTGAGGCAGGGATCTGGAGGAAAGGGCTCCATCTGGGGAGAAAACAACCCTGCTAATATAAGATGGGCGAAAAGGCTGTGTGGACAGGTGCAACCGCAAAGCTTTAGGGCTCAACAATAATTAAAACACCTGAACAAAACGGATAACCAACAAGGACTTACTGTGCAGCGCAGGGAACTCTGCTCAATGTTATGTGGCAGCCTGGATGGGAGAGGGGTTTGGAGGACGATGGATACATGTGTATGTATGGCTGAGTCCCTTTGCTGTTCACCTGAAATTATCACATTGTTCACTGGCTGTACCCCAATACAAAATAAAAAGCTAAAAATAAGTAAACAAAATGCAGTTTTTTAAAAAGAAAAATAAACCTTGGACTGGAAGGCATACATGGGGATAAGGCCCGAAATGGACCCTGGGCATCAGCCAGACCTTCCCTTGACCACTGCGGTCCTGTGCCATTGACTGGGCACAGGGCATGGAGATGGTTTACAGGGGAGGGCGCTCATCACAACAACTTAGACCAGAAAGCTTCCTTAGTTCAGGGAGGTGGGGTTCGTGGGGAGGGAAAGGCAGTGGAAAAAGGAAAGAGACTGAGAATCTGGGCCAACTTCTGCAGTCACAGGGGAGAAAAGTTCTTACTTGTCAGCCAATTAATTCGTAACCCAGGTTTTCAGTCTGGCTGTGACTGCCCTTGGCCGGCCTGCACAGTCATCATGTCAACACCAGGAGGAGCTCCGAGTTGCCTGGCGGGGGGGGGGGGGGCGGGCAGGGGGGCATACTCAGTGAGCATGGCAGCAAATCCAGGGCCCACACCCCAAACTATCCCTGGCGGATTGCACCCCGGAGTAGCGGGTGACAGGGTTGCACCATATAGAATTCCTGATGCAGAGAGGGAAGGGGTCAGAGGCACAGAATCTGCGATCCACCCAGATTCAGCCCCTATGCCAATGCTTCTCATATGTGCAGGCGTGTGTGTGTGTGTGTGTGTGTCTTTTAGATAGAAGTAACCAAAAAATTTTAAAAACCATGTAATCTTAGAAAGTAGAACAAATACCAGCACAAGCTGACACTCTTCCAAGGCTCTGTAAGAAATAGTGATGTGCTAACAGACCCCAAAGAAGAGAAGAGTTGTTACTTAATTTGAAAAAAGAAATAAACCACCTGCTCAAGTGGCAATGCCTACACAGAACTATTCTATTCTTCTGCTGCCCTGACGCTGGGGGTAAACCCACTGTCTTTGGCTTTAGAGCCCTGCATGGAGAGACTCTTTCATAGGCTCAGAATCCAGGAGTGGCAAATGCTTAGCTACCAGGTGATCTGTTTGGTCTATGAAAACTAGGAGATGGTCCTAGCAGACCCAGGCTTCCCACGGAACATCTCAAACCTACAAGATGCTAAGGACCACGCGGGTACCAAAGGAGCAGTCTCAGTGGAGAAGCAGCAGTTTTATAAAACTCCAGGGCCTGACATCCAAATGAACTGAAGTAACTGACTAAATGTACTACTTCAATAGCAAGTCCCTGCAGAACTCTGTGTCTCTCATCACAAGGACAAACGAGCATGGCTTAGGTGGACGTGGCTAGGAAGCTGAGACCCATCGGTGAATGCCAACAGGATCTGCCCTGCAATTCTTTTGTAAAGCATGAACACGAGGGACTGGGGTCCCACTTGATGGAGAGAAGGTGACTCCTTGACTAGAGGTTTGGAGAATACTCAGACTCTGGAGATTCACATGTCTTCTCCACTGAAAGTGAAAGTTGCTCAGTCATGTCCGACTCTTTGCGACCTCGTGGACTAAACAGTTCATGGTATTCTCCAGGCCAGAATACTGGAGTGGGTAGCCTTTCCCTTCTCCAGGG